CAACTAGAATTCTAATAGACATAACCAGAAAATGCTGATTCGTCCATTTTCCATCAGAATTACTGTTTAATCCAACCAGATCATTTTTCTCAGTGTATGAACTGTTGAATTTGTTTTGTTTTATGTAATTATTTTTAATTAATTTCTGGTCTATTAGATACAGATAAATCACAAAATCATCCATAATTTAATTTATTAATTTACTTTTTTATTAAAATTGTAAACTGATTTTTCGAACTAGAGAAACTTAAATTTATGACACTAGCCGTCTTGGATTCTCAAAAATGTTTCTATAACTTTTACTTCTTTCTTTCTCAAAATTCATTTCTTGTGAATATTCATTAAATATAGTTTAGACGTTTTAATTGTTTTTGTGCTTCTTTAAGGTCTAGAGAGGCCAGGGCTCTCCCAGCCTTCTCCCTGGCTACGCTCATAAATCCACTTATCCATGTAGCGTAGAAGTTTGCAACAACATTTGCAACGTTATTACATTGCTGGAACAATGTTCTTGCAATTTACTGGAATGATCTATGCTGTATGGATTATATGATATAGGTGCATTCGGAGAGACTATAGCGCTATTAGCGCGTTATTGTGTCATTTTATCTTTATCGTTCATTAAACATAAAACAAAAGTAGAATGGCACGAATAACGCTAATAGTGTTTGCTCAAATGCATTCATAGTGCAATTTTGTTTCACGAAATTGCGTTTCAGTGTTTTAGGAAGAGTATCTGAAAAACAGAGATTTATGTATTTTCCACAAAATGAAATAATCTTTCATGCATGTTTGTAAAATTAGCGAAAAATCATACATTACAGTTTAATAGTACACATACATACAGTCTTAGCCATAAGTAAAGGCACCTCGATTTATTGCATTCTCTTGGAAAAGGTGATCATAAAAATCAAAAGCAAATTAACAAAATATCAACATTATTATAAAGATAAACATTACGTTTTAATAAAATTGTTTATAATAAGTTTTATACGTAATTTATTTTTCGTTAGGTATAAAATGTTTACGTCAATTTGTGGGGATGCTTTATATTTTAGACTGTACCAAAGTTGCATACATGTATGATGTTTTTTGTATAACACATGAATCGACGTTTTAAATTTGAATAAATTTTGATGTGCCACGTGCGTTTGATAAATCGTATTAATGCTACTCTGATGCCTGCCCTCTAATTAAATTTTTCCTATTATTAGTAATAAATTATACTGACAGAGGCACAAGGCTGTGAAAAGAATTATTTTCGAGGGGATGGGTGGATTTTATTGCCATAAGGCTGCTATTAACATCTGCATTTGTTGCGGCCTATTTGTCGCAATGTGATACGATTGCACGAATCCCTTATAACGTGTAGAGGGCCAGGAGACGAGGGTGTCCTTGCCCCAGTTTCGAGAATAGGGGTGTCATTTCTGGATGGAGGGGGTGCTTAGATACGCCGGTGGCGGTAATAAGGGCGATGGAGGGGAATTTTGGTCCTCCGTCCTCCCTTCTATCCCTCTACCATCCCTCAGTGTGCAACATCTGTGTGCACCGTTCCCGATATTCTACCAAGTGTGACGGCCTTCGCAAGGAATGTTTTGTCCTGCTGAATAGCGAACGGTTTTCATTCGATCTATCGATTCAATCGAACGCTTGTCTAATGAAATGCTTTGCATTCAATCGAGATATTGAATGTTACGAATGATTTCTGATGACCGATGTTTCATTGAGGGACAATTTCGTTTGATAACCTTAGTTGTGAAAATTTATTCGACATACGTTAGAAAATTTGAATCGTTAAGAACTTTCACAAATGCAATTTTTTTAAATTCTTGATTTGATTAATATAATATTGTCCAAAATTTGTATAAGTACGTTTATAAAAACGTAATTTTAATACAATTTTAAATAATTTAGTGTGAATTATTATATATTTTATAAATAAATAATGAACTTTATTATTATGTTACTATGGTAAATTATTCTATTAGTTTAATATGTAATATTAACATTGAGATATAATATAATATACACTGAGAGAAAAATTTTGTGATATTTATGACTAAATTATATGTTACCATAATCATGCTACTATTAATAATAATAACTGTATATATGTATATATATATATATACATAGCTTTATATATAGCTAATTGAAAATAGCTATAGTTATCATTACCACAAAAATGGTTGCAATTACTATAATTTAACTATAATTTATAATTATTTTGGAACAACCGTTTTGACTCGAAAAAGATTATAAATTATAGTTATATTATATTTTGTAAAAATGATTGTCCTAAAAATGGCTGTAAATTATAGTTAAATTATAATAATTACTACCATTTTTATGGTTATAATAACTATAATTATTTTTTTTTTGGGGGGGGGGGTTGCCAACTGTATATACAAAGTGTTTTCAAATTCGCGCCCTGTATATTTGTTGATATAGAACTATATATGTAGTTATTATTACTAACATTTATAATATAATGATAACCATAATTACAGTAATAAAAAAAAATTTCCCTCTCAGTGTAGTCATAATAATATCTAAATACTTGATTATTATTACTACATACGCACTAACCAAACTTTAACCGGTATCATACTTAAATGTTCTAATTACGTACCAAAATATTTGATTATAATAATCAGAAATTGATTTCTGTTTACTGTTTACTTTGAAATTGAGTTCTGTTTACTCCCACTAAAATTTGCTCTTAATTAAACATATTTTATTAATTCAACATCATGATGGTTTTTTTCGTAAAAAAAAAAAATCGTAAGTTTCGTGACATAATGTGCGCCCACATGATTTCTCGTTTCTGTACCAACGACGCATAAGGTTCATTCATTTCGAGAAATGGAAATCTAAATCGAACAATGAAGGACCAAATCCCCAGGAAACGTCACGCTTCCCTCGCAAGGGAGCTTCCACATTACGTGTGATAACATAGAATGACGGGATTACATGACCTTTCCGCGCGACATCGCCGCGCGTTGCGCTCGAGCGCGATGCATTGTACGCGATCGGACACCTTGTTTCTCGTTGCCGGGAGAATTTCAGCGCATATGCCAGCAATCCCACGGTCAATGAGGATCGATGCATCGTCGACAGCTGGCGGACGACAACCAACGACGAGATAGAAATCTGAAGCCGATTTCGTCGGACACGCGCTACGTCACGTGCCGTGCATTTCTCCGCCCCCGCGTGACCTGTGTGCCCGGGACGTTTGCTTTATCGAGCTCGTCGATCATTGATTGCGCACGCCCGAATATCGATCGCGAACACAGCGGAGAAATAGACCTGGGCATTCCGCTGATAAATAAAGCCAGATTCGTAATACCGTGTATTATAAATATCTTGTATTAGCCGGATATCGTTGGTTTTACATGAACATCGTGGATGTTGTTGTTGTTCGAAATTTACAACAATTAACAGAGAATTAAAGTTAATTTGGAGAAGAATTACCGAACAAATTCAGGGGAGATTCGAGGCACTTGAAAAATTATTCGAAGTATTTGAATGAGAATGTTGGTACACGGAAAGAATGGGTTCAGTGAAGTATTTAAAAATTTAGTTGAATGCGAAACATTTTGGAAAATTAACATTTTTGGGATTACTTATTCAAATATCCATCATATTCTGTAAAACTTTTAAAGTGAACCTCATTTTAAAGAGTGAAAATTGAACTACTCTTTTTTAAGACTGGCTCAATTTTCACTGTTTAGACTGAGATTTTATTCCAAAGAATTTAGAGAGTAATAATGTGTTTTTTAAACAATAATTCTTTAAATCCAATAACTGTTATTAAAGTATATAAAAGATTAAATCGGATACAGATTTGAAAATGTTAATTAATTCCACGCAAAATGTTTGGAAACACTTTTTGAAGGTTGTCATTTTAGGATTACTTATTTAAATATCCATAACAATGTGTTCTTTAATAATAATTCTTTAGTTCTAATAGCTGTTAATGAAAATTTGGAGAATTATTGTTAAAAAAACATTGTTATGGACATTGGAGTTTATCCCAAAAGTGTCAATTTTTAAAAAGTTTCCGAATTTTTGATCTGGAGTCTATGTTGCGAGAGCATCATGATAACGCTATAAAAAATATGTTTGATATTCTAACAACCAGCTGAATCTGATATAATTATTCAGTTCGATGGTCCATGATTGTTTTTACCATAGATCTGTATCTTGCTAGATTTTTCGATTTCAGCCAAATAATTATTAATTAATATTAATAAAGTATTTTGATAATTGACTTTTTGATAAATATAGAGTACCTTTAGGATTTTAATATTTTACTAAGCTCGAGTAATAATCAGGTTTTAATATTATGGAATATTTGATATTATAAAATATTTGACATATTATTATTGAGAATATACTCACCAGGTATGCACGCGTATTTTAATAAAATTTCACCTGGAACCCATGAATATGCTCCTGGATGTTCGATAGTCACGTTGTAGCGACAGTGTTTTTGACCAGAGCATCTGAATCATAAAGGTACATATTAAAAATCGATAAATGACAGAGTAGATTGATTCGTAAAAAAAAACATCGATATGGTTAGACGAACGTTAATTTAATTCTTTCATACTGAATTTCCTACTATCTTTTATGCTAAACTGCTAAAAATGCATCTGATATACAAATTCCCTTTATTCCCGCGTAATAAATTGCAATTTATGCAAGGTTTCGCTTTCGGATACTATCGATTGTCCGACGACCTCCAATTAAATAAACGGCGTCGGTCATTAGAGGCTGTGAACGCGCTGACAAAAGCAGCCCCCGGGCTTCTTCGGGACGGGGGGGATGGAATTTAAGGGTGGGACCGGGATTGTTGCTGCGCGATCTTTGTTGCTCGTGTTTGAAAGCAGGAGTGAATAATGGACGAGGGTGGATTTTCACCCCTTTTAAGAGGCCTCGATGCTTCACTCCGCTACGTCGACCTCCTCCTGTCGATTTTATCGGTCCCTGGGCGGAAATAAAAGGGAAATAATGTTTCACCCACGCTCGCCCTTGCGAAGAATCTCTTTGAATTTTTTATACTTGCTAGCCGCGACGGATTCTCAAATTGAAACTTGTGGTTATGTGCGATCGTATCTCTTCGTTAGTCAAAGATAAGTCATCCTGTTTGGCGACAAAATTTTATATAGAGGTTATATATTGCTAAGAGGAAATTGCAATACTGCGAGAAATGAAGAAAATGCAGAATAAACGATACAAAGACAGAATTAACAGAGCAAAAATTAATTTTGCTCTGAAAATAATTATAAAAGAAATATGAATACATAAATTTATTATAACTGTAATTTTGAAGCAGACGTTCTTTGTATTAACGTATAATTATATTCTTTCTTTAGTATATTAAATTATAATTGAATTATAATTTTGTTACTCATTACCTTGCCGTTTTTAATTCAGTAATAATTCAAACAACTTTTGATATATATTTCTAGCCTTTTGCACGAGAGAGAAAAAGAGCGAGATAAAATTCTGGGATTTTTTAGTATGTGAATGAGATATTCCATTTTTCTGCGAAGAGCTCGGTGCAATTTCAGTAATGCAAAATTTGCATCCCTCGCATTGCCAACCCCTATTTGCGGAATTCCCGGAGCGTGATGCTGTGTAAACGTAGGGAGAAACCATTTAACGGAGATCGTTTCTCCTTCGGTGATCATTCGACGTGCGTTTCAAGGGAAAAGAGAGAGGGTTGGCAATTATTGCTTCAGGAATGCTTTTACCCTTGCACATCAAACGTCGAGATTTCGTTCTCGACCCTCGACGGGTCTCGGGTGCATGATGAGCGGCGGATAAAAATGGCGGGTGTATCGGAGATGAGAGTGCTTCCCGATCGAGTGGCTTAACTGCATTTCGTAAATAATAATGACTTTTCAGAGATTATATTTCTAAAACACTGCAGTTCTTTAACTATTTTTTCTATTTTTCTTTCATATTCATTTCGATTTCATCAAATTTTGTCTCCTATGGAGATATTTAATTTGACATTTAATGTGCTGTTTTTATTTTAACATTATATTATTTATTGTTAGATATTTATTTTAGTCATTAGAACAATATTCTATTCATTATAGAAAATGTTGTTTTTACATAAGAACTTTCAGGCAGCAAAGAGAGTTGTGAGAGAATTTAATCGCTTGTTCTAGTTTTGCTTTGTTGAACTCTATCACAGCTACAACCAAGAGTCTATTACAATGTTTGTAGTCGGTAGTAAACGTTCGCAATAAGAGTCGTTCTTGAGCTGTGGTTTACCTCAGACTTCGTTCGTAACTAAACACTATCTTGTGCTATCGAACACTTGTGTCAGGAGCAGAAAGGCTCGATATCTTCGACGAGGGCCACGGAAATTCTAGCTGACGGATCATCAATAAAATTATTCTTAAGTTGAAATTGAAGATTCTGATGCGATGTTGATATAAATCATTTTTTTTAAAGATCCGAGAAAACTACAAATTTAAATATGATTTTTGCATAAGATTAAATTAAATGATAATATTTCTATTTTCATAGGTACCTATATGTATATAGAAAATAGAAATATTTTACAATGAGTTTAAACCTTATTCGATTTTTATACCTTTTAAGATTAATTGTCTAAAAGAGAGAAAAAATGATCAATACATAAAACGTTTCAATTTGCCGTTATATTTGGATGAGCAAAGTAAATCTACCTTTTATTCAAGGATGATCTGATATCGATTATGTCTGCCTGAATGTCCTCATCGTCGAGAATGTAGTTTCCTTTGAGCTCTTGCATGTCCGTCCGTTTCCGCGTGCTACCTTTGTTCGTCCACATTTTGAGTTCTTCTTTCAAACTTTTTGATTCTTTCTGACAGAATTCCGTGTGATTCGCGTGATATTCCGCCTCCAGAATAAAGATGAAAGCTCTCAACGATCTGCGGACGCGATACTAAACCATGTAACTCTGCATATAACTAAATAAATCAATAAATAAATCAGAAAGAAATTTAGTTAACGAGAATTTAATCAATAAATTTTTTTTTAATTATCGCGCTCAAAGCTTTTGCTATCAAGTTAAAACCTGTAATTGAATCTTTTATACGATGTTGCTAAAACGTTAAATTAAAAGTTGAAGTTAAATAATTAGAACTTTAGTTTCTCAATTGGATTGGTTTTGAGAATTTTGATGTGCATTAAAATTACAAATTGCATTTATTAATAAGTTTACAGTAGATAGCAAATACATGGGAAGAACAATTTTGTGCTGGAGTATCTAAAAATTTAGCTGGATAGAGATCTGAAAATAATTTTGTTTGACTATCAAAATAATTATGTAGAGTGCAAATATGACGAGTAAAAATCTAATTTTAATATTATGTACTGTGTGTTGAAGCAAGTACAAGCATGATAAGCAATGTTTTAAAAAATTTTAACGTTCTAGTATCTCATCTTGAGCTACTTCAGTAAAGTTTTGCTGAGATACTTTAGCAAAACTGCTCTTTGCGTGTATATTTAGTTTTCTCTCTTGCGTTTCTTTTGGGAAAAAGTAATCTTTACCTTGCCATTTTTCTAATAACATCAAGGTTAAATATGTTAAGTAAATATATTATTTATTCATCACTTAATAGAAATTTTTTGTATAAAAGCATTATTAATTAATTTCTCTCAGAAATTTTACATTAATAATATTCAATAGAATAAATGCAATAATGAGTAAGCAAAGATATAATATTTTTGATGCAAATATAAATACACATAGAATTTAAATAAGATTATTTACGACTATTAATTTATAGAATTGTAATATTTTGATAAATTATAATTATAATTTGTCAAAATATTAATTTATCAATATTATTTGATAAATTTTCATGCATTAATAAATTTTATATATAAATGATACGACGCGCTCTGTAAACGCTAATTCATATTTAATCTCTTTACGACAAAATGTCTTTATAATGAACCAGAAATACTAGTACACTGAGAAAATGGTTTGGTTGGATCAAACAGTAATTCTGGTGGAAAATGGACGAATCAAAATTTTCTGGTTATGTCTATTAGAATTCTAGTTGTGATAACTAGAATTCTGATTAATATAATTATTCTGGTAAAAATAAGAATTCTAGTAGATTTTACCAGAAATATAGTATCAACTAGAATTCCGATTATCTCAACTAGAATTCTAATAAATTTAACCAGAGCGAGAGAGAGAGAGAGAGAGAGAGAGAGAGAGAGAGAGAGAGAGGGAGGGAGGGAGAGAGAGAGAGAATTTTCTGATTCATCCATTGTTAACCAGAAATTTTTTTCAGTGTACATTTTAAGAAATTTTTATCAAAACGCGATAAAAGATGCTGACAAACCTGCATGTCAATCTGAGCAGACCGTGGGAGCATCTCTGTTCCTGGACCACTTCCATGTATCCTCCGGGGAGTTTCACAGCCTTCAGGATCCTGCCAAAGGGTGCTTGGGTGGTGGCGATGATCCTGGGCGAGAAACTGGCCGCAATCGTCATAAGCAGCAGCATCAGGAGACTCGTCAGGGTCGTCGCTGCCGGCCAAGCCATGATGATGGTTGATCATCACAGTGACCTGGAAGTCTCCTCGCAAGCCTGGTCTCTAGAAAGAGCTCCTAAAATTAGCCCTCGAGTACCACCGCGTTCTGATAAGTCACGAAATCGCTCTCTTCAGAAGGTAGACGTGCACTTTCCTTTTGCCTCTTCAGATTCTCCCACGGCCACTCGAATCGCAGTTCTGCTGTCCGGAGGTCAATGACCCTTCAGCCCTTATTCAGATCAGTATTACCCTCTTAGATCCCAAATAACCGCGAATGAGGTTTAAGGGGAACGCCTTTTATGTGGCCGTGAATATTTCCGATACTTATATCTAAAAACATAAAGTAATATACTTTTTATATCACTTGACTTTAATGTCAAATTTTCTTGCAGATATAAAAGATAATTGCGCTCTTTATAAAGATAATTGAAATTTACTTGTTAAATTAAGAGCGAAAATAATTTAATCGCGATTGTATTCCTAGAATAGTCCTGTGAAAACTCGTTTAAATGCAAAATGGCTCTGATTGTTTGAAAGATAAAATATGTACCGAAATAGGAGAGAAAGTGCATTCGTCGACGTTATTAGAGCTAGATTACTTTGCGAGACTTTTCGTTGAATGAATGCGTTGAATCTTTGAGGTAGACCGAGGTCAAGAACTGAAGCTGGATGAATAGAAGACGGTAAAACGAGGGAAAATATGAATCGAGAAAAATTGCAACAGTAAAATATATAAAAAGAAATAAGGACTTTTCGCTCTGCGTGCCACAAACACGAAAAAAATATTAAATATGCTTTGCAATGTAATAGCTTGCTATCTCGCGAGCTGTATTTATCTCGCATAGCAGTTCCGAAAAAATACAAGGAATTTTTAAATACTAGCTGCGCGTTGTCTAGTACTTTCGTTCCATATTCCACTTTTAATCCTTGCTAGATTTATGTATTCTCTTTTGAACTTTTTAAGTATAAACCATGATATTTTTATAAATTCACGATATATAAAAAATTCTTTTAGAATTGAGTTAAAATTAATGACTAAAATTAAAGATGACAATACTAATAATAATCTTTTTGAATCAGATCTTTAATATAAAAACAAATATATAAAGATATTTTTAAAATATAAATTATTTTTATAAATATCGTGATTATGTATCAAGAATTCTATTAGAAATACATTAAAATGTTAATAATTAAAATTAAATACGACAATAGTAATAATAAACTTTTTGAATATCAGATTTTTAATATAAAAATAGATATATAAAAATATTTTTTTATATAAATAAAATTTTTAACTGGAAATTTTATTAAAATTATATTGAAATTTTGTTAATATTTTAACATTAATATAATCTTAAACTGATTTTAAAATTTTCAATTTCGGATTTTTGCATGAATTTTAGTAACATAAATCTTGATCAAAACTCACCTTTGATTCTTGAGAACAGCTAGAGATTGGTATCTCGTACGTCGTGTATCTCGAGAGCGCTTTGTAAACGATATTCTTTTTCAATCTGACAATTCTTTCGATCGTTCTTCCTCTTATTTTTAGCCGCCGACTCCTTAACTCTTCCACCACGATGTTTGTTGTAAAAGCGGCTCTGTCGCGATCAATCGGCCACGGCCAAGTTCCAGGCGCAGCCACCGGGAAGACAACAGCGGCAACGCGTTTTCCGTGGCGTCTCAAGGACGAGGATTAGAATAGTACGGATAAACGATTTCGTATTTAGGCACTCGCGGATGACGAAACGCGCTCTCAATTCGCCATGAAGGAGTTGCCAAACACACCGGATGATTGGTGATCAATCGCACACTCAGATCTATTCGATTTTCACTTAAATGGATGATTCAATTATTTCTACACACAAAATAATATATGCCAGTAATAATTACTTTCAAGTATTTCAAAAGTTTATATAGCCACAAATTTATCATAAAAAGTCATCAAATTTATTCAAAATCCTAGTAAGTTTAATACTTCAATCAAGATTATTGAATTAAAGTAAATTCGATTTATTTACTATATATAAAACCATTTCTTTGATTAATTCTATAATATTTTCTTTAAAAAAGAAAATAAAGTTTTTGTTCTGAGTATATAATAATGAGTTTTTTTTTAATTTGTAATAAGCATATTTTAAAATTATATATATTATTAAGAAAATATATTAATTTTATATATTAAAATAATTATATATTAAAATATAATAATTTTTTATTAAATATAACTATTACTTAAAAGAAAGAAAGAAAATTAAATAATCATTTTTTAGAAATAGAATGTTATTTTTGTGTATGTATGCATTCTTTGTGCGTAAACATTAGATGATGATAAATTAATCTTGTTCAGTAGATACTAAGTGAGTCGATCGATTAATTCCAATTAACGTTTATTATTCACAGCCCCGTTCTGGTGGATTAATTCTGGTCAATAGGTGTCGAATCAGTTTGCTACTTAATTGACTGTGGTTAAACGCGTTACGTGCCGGTTAATCACTCGAATTCGCACGAATTCTAACTAGGTAGATATATCCAGTATCGATTTTATATATTACATTATATATATATTTCTGATAGATATTATATTGAGAATTTCGAAGTCAAACTTTATCAGCCATTAATATCAAGTTTCAGTTCTTCCGATATCATTTTTATTAATAATTATGCTTTAATTAGTGCGAGATTTTTCACTTTAATTGATTCCATTTAAAAACTTGAAAGAAAAGCGTTTCAAGAAATATACATGACACAATGTCAATGAATCTTTTTCTTTTTTCAATAGCAACTTATAGCCATTAAAAAATATTAAAAAATAATTAAATATGATTTGATAAAATAATATTCACTTTGATTTTCAAAAATTTCCAGAGCATAAGAAGTCACCGTTTGAAATGTTTCGTAATGTCACGTCGCTTGTGATGTGTAATATCCTGATTAATTTCCTTGCTGAAGAGTTTTAGAAGTTCTTGTAAAGATCTTTAAGTCAATCACTTTCTCGGAGAACACTATATTGATATATTCTTGAAAAAATACCATTTTGTTAACATTAAACTTGTCGGTACCCTTAGTCTTGCAAACGCAAGAAGGGCTCTACTCTTCAAAGAATATGATTGCTCCAATTAAAACAGAAATATTCTAATATCACTCGAACGACACTATTCGAATCACTTGGTTCACTTCATCGAACGACAAAAATATATTAGTAGCTAATACAGTTAATCCGAAAACTACAAAAATCTATAAAATCTCCAACATATCGTCATGTTACACTTGTTTGATTAGGCTTGGTTTATCCTGGCACTGCTCGGTGTATTAGATTTCGTAACTGAAAAAGTATTCCTTTCGACACTGCACTGGACGGGCACTGGACTTAGCTGATCTCCGCTTCAATATCCACCGGCGCGAGTGCGTAAATCGCGGCGAACACCCGTTCGCGTCGGCGATTCGTTGGCGTGTGCCGTACCAAGTCGGCCTGATGATGCCTGCTACTCCATAGGCATTGATAGGCAGCCTAAGCCTTGAGTTCAGCGGCTACCAACTAGTCGGCCTGCGAGCGAGCGAGCAGCCCGGAAGCGGTCGGTGGTAGTTTCGGGGGGGAAGCTACCCTACTGCACGCGTGCAGGGACTCGGGGGTCCTGCATACCCTTATGCCGTAGATTCGTACCCCTGTGCCACGGGCGCTGGTTTTCGCGCTCTGCCCCCTCGTTCGATCCTCTCGTCCCTTTGCCTTCCGATGCCACGCCGGTTCCCTTTCTTCTTCATCGACGTTGATCCCAGACAGCTGAGGTCGGCAGCTGAAGATTTTCGGGTCTTCGCAAGGATCGCGCAGGTGTCACGTAAGATCAATGAGGAATAGAAATATCGAGAAATAATTCTCTAGGCACGATGATGCGATTGCATGTGATATTTCATTTTATTCTGTCGATCATTATTTGAAGAATTTTATTATTTTGTGTCACTATTTCAAGTTTAACAGAAAATATTATATTGCTACACGCTGAAAAAAAATGCGAATTAGCTCTGCCAAATGTATTTCATTTAGTGTGTAATATCCAATATAGATTATATTGATATAATATTTAATAGAGGAAGAGAGGAGGTCATAGAATTCCATTACGTTTTATTAAAATATCTCGATAGATATAATATTCATGACGTAACTCACATAACTACTTTTAATCTGAGTCTATTAGGCATAGAGTAATAATAATATTACCAATAGTTATGTTATAGGTAGAATTCTTCAGGTATACGGTAATTTACATAAAAAATTGAAGAAGGGAAATGATTGTGGTTATGGAAGGGGATATGAAATACCACTAATATATAGTATAACTTTATACATTTTGTGACCAAATTTAGTTCAATTATATCATTTGAAATTCATATCCAAGTGCAAGTTACAAAATCAATATAGTTATTAAAAGAATACGATTTTGTTGAAGTACCTAAAAATTTAATTAGATGCAAATTTTAAAATAATTATGTTAAATTAACCAAAATAATTGTATAAATATAGAAAACTTAAATATGGTGAACAACGTTACAAAAAATTTTGACATTCTAGCAATCCGCTTGAGCTTACATAATTATTGTGATAGTGCAACAAAATTATTTTCAAATCTGTACTTAGCCAAAATTGTAGATACCTCAGCAAAATTCTTTCCGCGTATCAACAAATTTCTCGAAATTACGTAAACAGTATATACACACCTATAAAATTATCTACTCTCACAGAACTGAAACGCAGCTGTTGCAACAACGCAGTAAACACTAATAATCAGTAATCATGTTGTAATGTCTAAGCAGAAGTGAAGAATTAATTTTGACGGTTGCATCAAATGTAGCGCAAGCTATACAAGACATTGTGATATTCCACAACCCCACTCGTTTCATAACTCATCTTTAAATATTACCAAACAATAATAGTAATCAAGCGTTTGAAAATAATTAGAAAAATGCGATAATATTTAGAAAAGTAGAATTAGTATTTTTAATTATATTAATCGAATATTTGATAGAAATTGTTTCAAAGCTTTAATAATTGTCATTTAAGTTTGATTATGCTTTTATATTTTTAATAATAAACTTATTAAAATATAAATTCTCTTCGAATGTTTACATTTGAAGAATCAAAAATCGAGTAGGTATACATATATCAAAATATCTTTTTAAATAATTTGCTTAAAATTATATTTTTAAGTTTGTATCGCATAAAGCAATGAAAGTTGAATATGATTTAATTTAACTCACGATGGGAAGTTCCTAGCTCGATTAATTAAAGCGAGAGAAAAAATTTGTTATCTTTTATAAATTTATATTGTACCGTCAGCGGCAATTTCATGGGAAACGTTTTTCAAACCCCTAAATAATCACAATCATCGAAAGAAATGATCATTTTTCGAGAGATTTATAGTCATTCTCCTCTATTGGTTAATGTCTTTCTTCGTCCCGCAATTCGAATTCTATTATTCGATCCAAAGATTCCGGTCATCGTCGATCTATTGTGATCGGCACGCGCGTGCTCGTAAACGCACATCTGCATCTCCGCGCGACGGAAACTGTCGAGCTCCGTCTCGTTTCGGATATACACCGGTTGTCATCGATCCCTATTGTCCCTGAATCGAGAAAGGCGCTCCGGAGTGCCTTGAGATCATTTTTCTCAGCAAGGAACAGAATCGAGAATCGTGACACGCAAGAAATTACATCTGCTAGCGAACACGTGTTACGATCGTTCGCTATCCTTTTAAGAGGGCTAAAAGAAACTTGAATTTACCATAAATTATCCGAAAAATCATCAGTTATAAAAATTAACGTTTTATATGTAGAATACACTTATTTTATAAATGAAACTATTATTTCAGCAATCATAAAGACATGAAAAAAAGTTCAAATAAATTAAAATCTTACTTACATAGAAGAACTTATTTAAATTTTAAAGCAATGTAATAAATAAAACCAGAATGTAGAATAATTTTATTTGCAATTTTATATATACCGTATAAAAAATACATTTAAAAAATTACTCACTCGCAAAAAATTATGGTCACCAGATTTTATATGTATATATATTATATAATGCAATTCTTTAAATTATTTTTATTTTCAAGTTATTTTGATATACATAAAATTACAAATTTAATTCTACGTAGAATCTGAATTATGGATTGTTTAAAGTGGTCTTTATAATAAATTTTTATGGCAAATTATGCGACTACATTTTTGTAGTTATTTCAATAGATGCTAAACCGCAAAGTAACGTGCGAATCGATCCACCCTCGGATCGGCAAACCCTTGCACGTGTTGTTGAAAATTAGATCGACATGTGCAACCGGTTACGGTTCGTTTAATCCACAAACTCAATGGAAGCTTAGTCAAATTGCATTTCTAATTCCCTCGTTGCATTACTCGCTGTACGCTTGAGGAAACGCCGACACTTCCATCCGTTCGCCCCAAAAGGATTTTATCGATCAAACGCGATCGTGTTCTATTCTTTGCACAAATTAAAAATAATAATAATTCTCGCAAGAGAGTCGATCAGAATTCTAAAATTATCTGCAAAATTAAAAATTTTTTATACAACCTGTGAAATATTGTAAAATAAAAATAATTTAACTTAATTTACAGTTTTGTTTATGCATGATTTTAATTTAGAGAGAGAGAGAGAGAGAGAGAGAGAGAGAGAGAGAGAGAGTCTGTAATTCTATTTATCTTTAATTTAATATAAATTTATTTAAAATATGTAAAAGTTTCAATTTACAGTTGAAACAAATATTTTTCCGAAACGCATTTTTGCAGATATGAATCGTAAAATCTTACAATCCACGACCC